AGCTCCCGGTGGTGCAGGATGGAACATTCAAGAAGTGTGAACAAATGGCACAAAATGTCACAAGAAACCCTGCATCAAATGGAGACCCCACGACACTTTGACTGTGTGCGTGCTTTTCATGTTTTTGCGACATTCCCATCTCAGGTGGTGGAAATGATTCAGAATCTGTCGGTGTGAATCTCATGCGAGAAGCGCTCCTGGTAGGTGAACTTGCCCCCTGACTCTGCACCAAAGACATCTGGCAGGGAAGAGCCCATCAAGCAAGGAAACCTCACTCTTGCCGCAACCGTTCGTCTTAAAGTAACTAAATAACAAGGTTTGAGTGAACCACTTAAGGGCATGCCTTTAATTAAGTAGAATTACACAGGCATAGACCGCATGCTGGTGCAGGTGCTGTGTGCTGGTGCCGGTGCTGGATACTGATCGACTGTGTTTGGGGACTTTGCTTACAGTCCCACGACTTGGCGGCAGACATTCCGCTCTGTCATGGCATTGAGTATTAATAATGGCAAACGTGCTAGCGATGTGTCAAACATGGCTAAACGATGCTAAACGGCTAAACGTGCTAGCGGGATCTAGCGGGAGTATAATGGCAACAATGAAGCAGCAATGTGTCAATGACTTGCAAAATTAAAGTTTTTGCGCCGATGTGCGTGGAAAACGGCTACTGCACTGCAAACACTTGGAAGGTGAACAATGCCCTTGGCACCGCTCATTGACAGCGAAAGCTATTGGACATTGGGATTTTTTCCCTCAGGCACTACAGTATGAGCTTTTTCCCTATACCTGCACCAGCACCAGCACCCGCACAAGCACCTGCACCCAGAAAACGCACCCGCACCAGCACCCACACCAGCACCTGCACCAGCACCCAAGAAGACGCCGATCCAGCACCAGCACCAGCACCCGCACCAGCACGCCCCAAGCAAACGCCGATCCAGCACCAGCACCAGCACAGGAAAACGAAACGCCGATCCAAAGCCTTGAGAAGTAAGAACCCCTATGGCCCCTATAGCTTGCAGCTATCTGGGGAAAAAGTTCGACTGTGGTGTTGAGGGTTGGAATATGACAAAGAGTTGAAGACTCTCTGTTCGGTGGTCTTTCGACCAGACCACGGTGCGCTGTCGGCCGTTCCAGCGGGACACCTTGTGCCCCTTTCCACACCAACCGCGATACGGCCGCGTACCGAGGAGCAAGAGGTCCACCACATCGCGGCTGGACAACTTCAACTGCTGTGCCCCGCCGGGGATCAGCACCTCGGGGAGCACCACTCCAGCGTCGGCTTCGGAAGAGCCGATTTTCTTGTTTGGTCCGTCCAAATGGGGGGGAAGCCCGGAGGGACCTGCGCAAATCATGTCATCAAGCATCCATGGAAGCTGCTTTCCAACGCGTGGACGAGACCAAGATGTGCTGTTCAAGTTCAGCCACTGGGCCCGTGCCATCTTGCAGCTCTCCTGCTACTTGAAGCAGCTGCTCCACATCAAAGAGGATGGTGCCTGGGCCTGAAATCAGAAATGCAAAGCAATGAACAGCAACAGTCAAGGGGCGAACAGGCTACTTTCAACCTTAAGGAGCTAGGTGAACTGCTCTCTGAATTACGGGAACCACCATGACACCATGCTGCTTCACTTGTACAGTTTCTCGCGCTGACTCCGTAGTAGGGGGCCCCATCTGCTGGTCTCAAGCCACATGCTACCGCAAGTCGTGTTGATAAATTGATACACCCTCCCCAGGTGCTGTGCGGTGCAGGATGCACAACTGCCCTTTCACTGATCAATGACTTCATCGTTTGAATCCGGGGCTAAGAAACCAGCAAGAGAAACAACATGAAAACACCTCTTGCTTGGGACGCTGGGACGCATGGTGACGCGTGGTCTGCGGCGCCTTTCAAAGGCCATGCTCCCATCTGCTGAGACACCACCTGCGGCCACAGGGGGGGCCGAAGCTCCTGAGCGTCCGCGGAGCAAAACACGCTCCGCCGAAACGTACCATGTCTGGCTCCATGAAATGACTAAAAGTAATTGGATTGTTATGATCAAATAGTTCGAGGTCAAGCCAAAAATCGTAGGATTAAACTGTAGAACCCCTTTCTTCCTTCAGCACTGCAAACCGGTCCCTTTCCGCTAAACCAACGCGGTCGACCAGGAACGAAAGCTGGGCGCCGTCTCTCGCTGTGGGCAGAGCGCCGCCAGGACGTCGGCGTCCGACATCTCCAACGCGACGTGCGCGTCGGGGTCTTCCCACCTCGCGACGCGTCGGTCTTCCCCGGTGGAGCGTCTTCTCCGGTGGAGTGTCTGGGAAAGAGGTTGGAAGAGGGTGTTTTTGAAGAAAGGGCCCCAACCTGTGACTGAACCAAAAGTCTCAAGAAAAAGACAAGAACAAGCCCAAGAGTCTATGCCATCTATTGCTTTGGGTCTATTGCCCAAAACAGTGCCCCAGACAAACATGAAGTCGGAAGGATTCACCACGGGTTTGTCTCAATTCGTGGGAAGCCCCTTCGTGGTGCGGTTTCTGTGCTTTGGTGGGGATCAAGAGGCTTGAAGGAATGAAGGAATGGAGTGAGTCATTGTATAACTATAACCCTCTTAGTTTTCCTGATTCCTGGAAAATTAACTTATAATAACCAACCGTTCTCCATAAAAGGTTTTAAAAGGTTAAGGGTTTAAACGGTTTAGGGCTTAGGTAGGTTAACATAGATCCTCTAAGATAGAGACCTGCCACGCAGGTTGCGTGCCGCATGTTGACCTGGGCAAAGAGTCGAGGCGACAGAAACAAAGGCAACTTGTTACTAGTAGCTTCTTGCTACTTAGTAGCGATGGCCTCCACCTAGTAGCTTCTTGCTACTGGTACTCAAGGGCGTTCAGCACATTTGTGCTGTTCAACGTCCCGAGACCTGGAGATCCATCGATGGTGGCGCGGACCATCAGGATGACCATTTCCGAATGCCAAACAATTGTCCACTTCCATCTTAGTGACTCTGAGCATATATTACAGCCGGGACTGCCGAGCTTGCCAACTGCCCTTCACTGAAATCATTCCGACCCATCCCTTTGATTCAAAACAAGATTCTTATTGGCTCCCGTAGGTTTCAGTCTGACCGGAGTCCAGCTTTGGTCCTCTCCAACCTGAAAGGTTCCGCCCGATGCACCATGCAGGCTCAGCAGTTTCTCCCGACCTTCTTAGGCACGAAACTCTCCCCGACAAGCCATGACTTGACACAACTGCATGGGTAACTCCCAAACATAGGATCTTATGAGTTAAAAAGCAAATGATGATGATGATGATGATGATGATGATGATGATGATGATGATGAAATGCAAGGAGACAGTAGCAAGTTCAAGCTTCTGGAAACTGCCAACACCATACAATACCATGAAATTTGTCAGGTGTGGTGAACATGCTACGTATGGCTTAAGACGCTATATATGATCACTAGCCACTAGTGGAGGTTGACGGTGTTATACTTATACCTTTCCAAATTCCACCTTTGCAAGCATCTTGTCAGATGCAACGAATCTCCCTCGAAGCATGTCCAACATCCAACCGCTCTGCACCAAAGCAGGTTCATCTGAAGCATCCACCAAAACAAATAGCAAGAGCGACCCACCCCTGCCCTCGAACCCCTCTTGCTGAGGCAAGTTCAGTAAGAGTGCAATGCCTTCTCTGTTGGCATAAATATGAAGGTCAAAATGGTCAATAGATCCCAACCCCAACCCTGTCCCTGGAGAACCATATCTTCGTAGCAAGAAGATGCAATTCTTTGCACCGGGAAACGCATTGCGTCATCACACACAGGAATCAACACTGCCAGAAACAACAGTCTTGCAGTTAACAGTCTTCCAATTTGCCCAATAAGGTTTTGGAATAGCTTTGACCCACCATGGTTTTAACCCATTATTGTATTGCTCAACATTCTGATTCTCAGCTCCGCCTCACCCCTGATCACATCTGATTCTCGGCCGCGATCTCCACGCTGCAGCATGACGACTTTCAACTTCTGGGAATCCTGCGGCGGATGTTACAACAAGTAAATGGATCATCAAAATCGCTCTGCCACTGGATCATCAATGTAGATCTCACACATATCCCAAGATCCCCTAGGTACTGCCGAATCCCCTGGCGCGAATTTGCCCAAGCGAAAACAACCGCGTGGCCAAAACCTGCCGCGTGGACACCACCCTCAACCGCCGACTGTCCAGTTCCAAGATCGGCGCGGCCCTACGAGCCATCCGCCGCCGGCTCCGGCGCAGAAGGGCCAACAGGCCCAAGGGCCAAAGCCTCTCCTCGTGGCCATCGAATCTGAAGCAGAACAGGAGAAAGATCAAAAGAGAATCCGGATCCTTCATGTATAGAATCGGATCCTGTTAGAACATGATTTGGGGTTTCGTGTGCCGAAAACTCGATCTTTCCCCGGGTCTCCCACTACCTGTCCATTGTTCGCCGAAAGGCCGCGGCATGTTGCACAGCAGCTCTCCGCTGCCAGCCGCCTTCACCGAAGTGCTCCACGTGCCGCACGGTCACCGCGGGCGGGGAGGGCCCGCTGCGCGGACGATGCGGGCGAAGAGTGTCCAGCGCCAGCGCTGGCGAAGGGCTGTTCATGGGAAACATTCCGGCAGAGCTTCGACAGAGCTGATCCTTTGATCTTGGAGCTTGATTTCTTCATACGAAAAAAGGTGAGGTGTCAAAGCAACTGTTCGCGTTTCCAACGGGCTGGGGGATAAAAACAACGAGTCTTGCAAGAATTGCCAGTGGTAGGGCCATGATTGGCGGCATCTGACGGCCTAGTATATCCTGGTAACATGCTTAGCCTGCGGTTGGAGTCATGCTATTCTGCTGAGGATATGTCAGTTCTTACCCATCCAAGATACTCTCTGTTGAGTACAGTTGAGAGTAAATTCTCAAAGCTAGACTAAGCTCAAGCCAAAGTGGAGCCAACTGCGAGCTATAGTACATGCCCACTGCTTCTTCAAGGTCCAATGCAGAGCATCTTGATCACGGCCTCTCGATCACGGTCCATACGGTCCTCACCTGCAAAGCGTCACCGCTGTTTGACCAGAAAGGTGAAGAAAGCTGAGGCCGGAACCATCCGTAATGCCGAAGGCTTTCTCCATCCGGGCATCCTGGCAGGAGATCCTCTTCCACACATGATCGAGTGAATCAAACCTTCCAACCTCACGCGCTTGAGTTCTTCAGAGTATATCTGAAGACCGTATACCGTATAACAATATAGTACATAATTAGTGTATTAAATACAAAATAAACAACAATAAGTATATAAACAAAATTAAATAAACATAAATAAACAATACACAAACAATCTCTCTGCACCGCCAAAAAACGCCTTGGCTCGTGCTCTGATCGCTCATCAGGCGGGCCCGAGCCGGCCCGAGCCGGGCCTGCTCGGCGTGGTCCGGATCGATCCACGGATCGGTCAGCTCGCCTCGTGCCATCGACTCGGACGTGGCGAGTTCTCAGACATATCGACGCTTCCGGACGAATCGAACTTCGGACGGGGGGGGGCGTGATGTTCTTGGAAGCGAAGAAAACACATCTTCTCGGCCCCTGCCTATCTGCAAAACTTCATCGTCATAATCCATCTCCAAAGCATGTTGGCTCATGTCAAGCTGTGCGTCGGCTTCCACCAGCAAGGGAGCTGGAATGTCTTCCACTTCTTGTGGCACAGCCAGTTCGACCCTGAGGTCGCTTGCACTCCCATCCAATCCATCCACGCCACTCAGCATGGTCGTTCCCATGGCGTCGTCGTTCTCATCGGGTGGCACCTCGTCGTCCGAGACCGGATCCAAGTCATCGAGGTCCACGTGCGACGCGGGCAGCGTCATTGGGAGATGCTCGTCACCACGTTACCCGGAGAAGGACGAGAAGCTGCAAAGCTGCAGGAACATGGCATCGAGGCCCGAGATAGCGATGTGTGTGTGTGTGTCGGGATTCTCTGACAGTGATCCTGCTTGTGCTATATATCTGTCGATGTGCGACGAAACCGTGAACTCGATGGCGAGGTCAGACCTTTCTTTTTCTGTGGTGCAAATTCAATGGCGTCTCTTTTCGATTCACCATGGGCTGGAGCGTGTTTTGGGCACTGTCTGCATATGTTTACTATCCGTCCACGTGGCTTCGTGCCAAAAAGTGTTTGTTTCTGCATTGACAAGGTCATGTCGGGGCCTTCAGCACCACATATGATTGAACGCTCATGCTGTGGGCCACGCCGCAAAAGCATGCATGCTAGCATGCCCAAGAACTGGAATGGCCGGCCACAAACTATGTTGACTCTACTTGCAAATCGAGAATTTACAGTATCTTGATGTATCTTGCTGATTCCTGGTGAGACTCAACTTGGAGCCAATGAAACCGGTCAAGTAGCTACGCCAAGAGTCTTGATCTCACATTCTTCTCATGCCGGAGCTGAAATCAATCTTGAAAGTCCTCTCAATCGCATTGCAGGTGTGTTTCTGCAGCTGTTGGGCGCTGGCGCGGTCACATCCTTTGGATGGGACCATGACCTGTGGTGACTAGCCCTTCAAGGGTTGGGTCAACACTGTGGATCTTCACACCCACAAACTATCGGTGCACGCCAAAAAAACCGCCATGGCCGACATGGACGGTCTCTGAATGAATTGGACCAGAAAAAAACACGAGTCGAAGACTGAGTCGAGCGCTCCATGAGTCCAACGCGCTCCATGAGTCTTGGAGTCGAACCGCGGCAGCGGATGTCGCCGCCGCTGCCGCTGCCGCTCGGGGATGCCGCTACGATTTCACTCCAAGTCGCCTGCGGCTCGTTGGAGCTCTGTAGGCAAGGGGAACTCATAAAGCTCCGTCTGGCGGTTTCGCACACCTAAAGCAAAGAGTCGTCCCCCTCCTCCACTCAGAGTCAACCATTCAATGCGCTGCAACTCAATGTCCGTGGGCAAACGCCACTCTCCTTTGTTGGTTCCCTGAACAGCATCGAAGGCCTGGACAGAGCTTGTTTCACGGCGCAGGACCATGACATAGCCCTTGGATGAGAAGTGCAGTGAGCCCGCACGAAGCGCCTTGTTCCGCTGCTCCAGCGGAAGTTCGGGCACCAGGGTATGCATCTTCACGTGGCTTTCACGAAGCTCAACCACACGGCCTTCCGACGTACCAGCCACCACACAACCTACGCCGATCTCACGGAAGTCACCCATCATGCATTCGCTCTTGGCAGCGAGAGCCTTGATGCGTTCCATGCCTTCTCCTCTCTTGGCATGGTGAAGCCATTTGTCTTGGATCTGCCACTCTTCTGGCTCTGAGCTAGGCAAGGCTGCAACTCGTGTCTGAATAGCTGAGTCCGAAAAGCTTCTGAATGTTTCTTGCAGTGGACACTCTGCCAGCAGGCGGCCCTTTGCATGCAGAACCAGCACTCTGCAATGAGACTCAGCCTCACTGGCCACACCAGCCGTCCCTGCATGCCCGCAGGCCACACTGACATCCTGTACTGCTTGGCCTTCCAAAGCAACACATGGCGGCACCTGATCAAAGGTCACCTTCGTGGTGTCATCGACACCCTCAACTCGACCAGCATAAACTGCAAGATCATCTGCCACGACCAACAACGATCCTGATGGATCGCAGCTCAAAGTTCGAGGTCTGAGAGCCACTGAAGGCCACTGCACTTCAACGCGTCGTCCCTTCAGCAACGAATGCAGGTCCTTGCGATGCCGGGAAATCGGGATCAATTCCGGCAGACCATTCGGGCTGGTGCCCACCACCGCCTCGATTTCCTCTTCCCCCTTCTCGGTCCCCACCGTGAGGTCGATCTTCAAAGGCTTGGTCAGGAACTCTCGAAAGACGCCAAAGGGAACCGCCAAGCCGATGACCCACAGCAAGACCATCAGCAGGGTGGCTGTTCGGAAGATTTGCGCGGGATACTTCCCGGAGTCGATCTTGTCGTGCCCGCTCACAATGTCCTCGTCGCCCTTCATGAAGCTTGCATGGCCAAAGTCTGCATCTTTGCTTGACATTTCTCCGGAAGGGTTTTGCAAGCCTTCCCTGCAGGAGGCAAGATTGAATTCCTCCTCCTCAGATTCATCTTCGACTTCAAGAATTCCTGCATTCACTGCTGTTACCACAGGTGTGATCACATGTTGCTTTGCGTGATGAAGGATTCGACTTGGTGTTGACTGGAGCGCCTCAGGTGGAAGAAGGGGTGCCCTTTCTTGCTTTCGATGCACACAATACTCTTCGATTTTTGCATCAAATTCTGTCATGGTGCGCACCTTTTGTCCACGTCCATTTGTATTTCTCTTGGACCCTCCACTTGCCCCTGTTGACGGTGCCCCTGCATTCACGTTCACATCAGCCTGCTCCTCCTCCTTATCCTCTGACTCAAATGGCCTTGCTTCTCCACTCTTTGGATTGTAAAGGTATTCGACTTCGGTGCCAAAATCTGTGTACCCTTTCATCAGCACGAAGTTCTCCTCATCCAGAGATGGTGCTGAAATTGCTGAAATGTTTGATCCCGTCATCTTCTCCTTGGTGGCTTTTCTGGCTCGATCAACTAATCGGTCTGCACGATGCCGATCCACATCGTCCATGGCCCCTTTGACTGACTCAGACTGGAAGAGTTTCATGTTCGCTTGAATTTCTCGCTTCAACTCCCAAAGGTTTCTACTTTGTTCTCTCATGCTTGAATCGCTCGACCTTTGACGGGAAGGCCGGGCAACACCGGGCCCTTTGTGGTGTTTCAGCACACCGAAGACATCCATGTAGAGCACTGCCCGAAATTTTTGGGGCAGGATCACTCCTGTCTTGGGCTGCATTTCCAGGCCACAAGCGACCAGGGCAAAAAAGAGCCACAGTCCATGAGCAGCATAGGTCAATGGAAGAAGGAATGCAAGAACCAGCCTCGCGTGAACTTCGAACACTGACCAAGTGTATGTCGCTGTACCAGCACATAAAGGTCCAGCGACGATCAAGATTCGCGCCCATGCTGTCTCCTGACATTGATGCTGTGAAGAAAAGATGCTGAAAAAGAGAGATGCATCAAAAATGCTTTTTGGGCAAAGAGGGGCAGTGGGGATACTCTCAGCCATGTCATGCCATGACGCCAAATGGCATTGGAACAAGCTCAACTGAAAGAAACATTGTAAATTCCAAGTGTATAATATCAGAATCCAGACTGTTCCGCAGCGAATCATGGGCTGTTTACCCGAAAGAAAGATCAACAAAGAACCCGAGCTACGGTCTCCTTGGGACTCATCTCAAAGTCAAGCTGAACCAAAGAAATGGTCATCACACACATCAGAATCAGAACTCCAACAGAAGCCCAAGGGGAGCCATCTTGCAACGCCACGTAGCCAAGGCAATAGTAGCAAATGGCTTGCATGAGCTGGTGCGTGCCAAAGGCCATCGACACCCGCGCAAATGAGTCATAGCCTTGGATTTGCTTCAGAACCTGGAAAACACAGCTGTTCTAATACAATGCACCAGTCAACAAGAAAACAATGGACAAACCACATAAGTAAGCTTGCTTGCTTGTTCACCAGGTCGCTCTGAAACTGTCGGGCAGCACGCCTCGCCAATTGCACATGCCGCCGGCGGAGAGCCGGCATCTGCTGCAGCTCATATAAATCCCTATCCTCCACGTTTTCCTCCAATCTCCAGGGGTCAATGGGCCCGAAATTCCCTGCAGACCAGGACGACACATCGCCGGCTCGTCCGGACCGATGCGGCGCCGCAGTGGGCGACGTGGAGTCCTTGGTGCTGGGGTTCCGGGTGAAGGGAACTCGCAGCATGTCCTTGGCATCCAACTTCTCATAGTTACACGCAAAGGTTCGCATGTTCTGAAGAGCCTGCCAGGTGGGAATCGGAAGCCGCACAAACTGCGTGAGAAGCCGCACAGCCGAGCACTGGGCGACAATGGAAGCATGAACTGCCAGCCACACAGACATGAGCAAATACATAAAGGCTGCAGAAAGGGTCAGCATGTAGTAATGGATCAGGAAGGGCGGGGTGCCGGGCTGCAGGCGCCCTTCAGTGTAGAGGCCGAGACACATTCCCAGCAGAAGGGTGGACACAATCAAATAACTATCCATCTTCCGTTGAGTCAGGCCGATGATGTCTCGGACATCGTCTCTCCACAACTCAGACTGTGAAGCACGCCATTCCAAGATCTTCAGCTCGGTCTCTTGACGCATCTTGCGGTCGTAGAGGAAATTGTCTCGATTGTACTCCCATAGCGCGTGAGCTCCTGCTGCAGCTCCAGCCACAGCTTCTGCTAACACCATGGCTGAACAAGGCTAGGTTGGATATGGTTTGTTGTCCAAATGCACAATGGAAAAGGCCAAGCATGTGCTGCCGCTGTGCTATAAACCACACGTCTGTGGAACATGCAATGAAGTCTTGGTGCGTTAACAATATCAGCATCACCCCACCCCACACCGGCAGAGAGCTGTTGCGGCGAATCACGATCCATACAAGGGGGCATGTGACGATTGCAACTGCACCAACGTACACCTGAATGCACCAAGCAGCGTACTCTTTTTCTGCACCTAAGCAGCGAAAAACGACTTTTAGACCTTGGTGCTCGAACAGTGAAGCTGATTTGAGTCTCAGAACAAATTCTGCCACTGCACCAACAAAATCCAACAAATAAATTCAATCACTTCAGCTTCTTGGATGCTCTCGAGCCAAAGCACTTCGTCTTTCCATGTCTGAAAGAAGTGCGTCGCGAGCGCTTCTGTATCCTCGGAAAGACTTCATGGTGAATTTGAGAGTAAGGGAGGACTGTCGAGTGTAACGAACAGCAAGACAACGCAGGAAACCCACATTACGATGCAAAATTGTAGGATTCACCCACAGTCAGCTCATTGTTTTCCTGGCTTGATCTTGGTGTCCCCTTATGGATGAAGACGTGCATGCCCAGCTGTTCTCCATGTCGCAAGTCACCCAACCCCAAGGCGTCGTCCTTCTGTGGAATCACACGAATGTTCTTGGCACCAGTGGCCAGGCCCGTCAAAGCCAAAGCATCCTCAAGACACCAACAGTTTTAGTTGGTTTCATCCTGCTCAACGTGTCTGTCTTTCTCAAAGTCGTGAGTTCAGAACCCCAAATCGCTGGAGACGTGACTGCTGCTGGTCCCACTGCCAAAAACTGGCCTGGACTTGCTTCTGGATATTCTCCCCACAAACCTGGACGAGTTTGTTGGGCGCAGAACAGCTGGTCTTTCTCCCAAAGATCCTCTTCTCATCAAGAGGAGTTCCAAAAAATCAAAGCTGTGCGCTGCCACAACAATCAAACGAAACCACCCAACAACTTTCATACTCCTTGTCCAAGAACAAATCTAACCGTCTAACCTTAAAACGCTGATCCCACCCATCTCTTGCCGCCACCTCCCTCGCGTCCCTGGTGACCGGGGCGGCCTGGATGCCGGTGATCTCCTCCCCTTTACATCGCCCCAGCAACTTGGGCTCTTTGGCCCAAGTGAAGAGCGTTTTCAGCTGGTCATCCTGACGGTCTGAGACGGGGTTCGCGGAGCGGATCCGATGAATCCGACTGTGGGGAAGCGGCGGAAAGATATGATTGGGAGGAAAAAAAAGATCTCTATTTCTGGTCGAGGAATTCATTCATCCTACATTTAATCCTACATCCTACATCTCTGAAGCCAGATGTTCTCTGAACACATCGAACTTCACAAAATGTGTGCCAGTCGTTAACCCATACTGTACCCGTACCCACCAGGGCCCGTGTGTCAACACCTCCCAACGCCTTCGCTCTCTCCGCGCCTGTAGACGTACGACCCGCGTCCGGGCGATGGCCCACTTTGAGGCCAAGGACTTGGAAAGGAACGCCTCGTCGGATGGGTCGGACGTCGGACGTCCCGGTGGCGAACGGTCAACCGGGTGAAAGTACGGCCACAGAGTGGCCAACCCCGTTGGGCCTGGTGGAACCATGTGATGAACATGGAACGCTGATGCCATGTCAACACATGGGACAGCATGTCTTGCATGTCTTGCATGTCTATGACAAACACATGTCTTGCATGTCGTTGTGATTAGTGTTTTGCATGTCGCACATCTCCATCTCGGGCGCCTTTGGGAGTTCCGGTGTCGACAGCGTCGGACGTGTGACGACGTGTCTTTCGCAGCGTGCGGCAATGGCCAAAAACTGGATAAATGGACCAGTGAAGAGCTACCCTGAGTTTTTGTTGCAATCAAACTGTTTTGGATGTCCAGTGGTCTTTGGGTTATGGGTCTTTTCATGAATTGGTGGATGGTTAATGATGGTTACAATGGATGGATCAGTGGGGCTGCAAGTGTATCCAATCAAAACTCTTTGGACAAAGTGTGATAGTCTTTGGGTGGGTGCGTAGATGGAAGTCTTTTGAATTGGTGAATGAGTGCTTATTCATGCGGCACAAGAACTGGTTGGGGTGATCTGCGGCACAAATTCGCCCAAAAAACGCCCGCCTCGATGAAAGCCTCTGAGTCTGGCATGAAAACGATGAAGCATGTCTCCTACATTCGTCCACAGTCTTTATATCATAGGCCTGCCCTTTTGATGTTTACAAACCAAAGGCAGAGTCTGAAACCATCCATGTTCCACGCCGAACAAGGCCGTGTTACACCAATTTGGTCCTGAACATGAAACCGTGGGTGAAAGCTCAGACTCAATACAGAGTTCCAGGAGACAGGGTAGCTGATCTCTAAACCCCTCACCTGTCAAGGCACCCAAGGTCATCCCCTCCTTCGAAGGCCATGGGCGGCTGCCCAAGGTCAAAGGCACCACACCTGACAGAATTATTTCACAGCTCGACATGCATCATGGCTTTAACGACACAAACTGGCAGACTTCATACACCAGTGACTGAGAGAAGCACCGCCCACCCAAATCCCCCCTCGAATGCTGGAAAAGAATGCGGGCGGCTTTGGAGCCACGGATGACTGAGACTCAAAAGCTCAGGGGACATTCAATAAAACTAGCAGTGTGGAGAACAAACATTGAAAACACTGCATGTAAATCCAGCAGGGCTGGCAATTATGTTGAATCCAAATTAGTAAAATTGGACGGAATAAAAAAAACGTGTTCGCCAAATTATTCATACACCCTGATTAGTTTAATGGGTCGGAATAAGTTTTTCACCCAGGGTGTTTTTTGTTTGTTTTGCTATTGCTGCCCTTTCAAACCCTTACTTAACTCTTCTGAGGTTTGCTGGTTTCATAGAACTCTGACCTGGAAACCTTTATCAAAAACTCGTTTTAAAACTCATCGATTTCATTGCACCAAACAATTTTTCAAGGGGGTAGTACACAAGCCCAGGGTAATTGAATAGTATGCATTGTTTAGGGGTTGGATTAATCAGCAAACTTGAAGGCCTAAGGAAAAGAACCATGTTTATTATTGTTCTGCTATTGCGGCCCTTTCAAACCATTATATACTTAACTCTGGTACTACTACTACTACTACTACTACTACTACTAATAAAAATACTACTACTACTAATACTAATACTACTACGACTACTACTACTACGACTACTACTACCACTACCACTACCACTACTACTACTACTACTACTACTGCTCCTACTCCTACTCCTACTCCTACTCCTCCTCCTCCTCCTACTCCGACTCCCACTACCACTACCACTACCACTACGACTACGACTACTACCACTACGACTACTACTACTACTACTGCTGCTACTACCACTTTTTGCGGCGGTGATACTCTTCAGACCCCCTGGATTGTTTGCTAGGGGGAGGTTTTTTGCTATATAATTAAGATCCAACATTAGGTATCTCATACCTGTCTTGGGGAAGCCTCCCTGTTTTACCCTGTGTCACTCACCCCCATCTCAGAACGGTGTTTCCCCGGCGATGAGGGGTGACGAAAGCATCTTTGAGACATCTGAGGCACTCTCGTTTTCCAGCTCTTCGGGCGTGATCACTCCAGCCGCTTCCACATTCAGCAGTCGCCCTGCTTCCTGATGCGACACGGATTCCCGATTCACACGGAGTGGTTTTCCTTATGCCCGCAAGCCACAGATAGCCACAGCAATTGATTGCAATGGTGTTGGCTATTCGTTTGCTTTTTGACCCTACGCTCCTTTGTACGAGACATACACTACCATTGAAATTCGAGCACTTGCTTGTGCAAGTTATCTTTCTTCCACCTTTGATTATAGCCTTTGTTTGCAAACCTCCCAAACGTCAGCAAAGGGTCCTCTTGTGGCAACAAACTCCAATTGGGCTTCTCTTCGTTCTTGTTGAAATCCTCAAACATCCCCGGAGGGGAGCAAAACCACTCTCCGATCCAGCATCTATTCCAACGACGCAGGCCATGAATCAAAGCAAGGAGCAAGGTTGTGTGTGTGCTTGCTTGTTTGATGTTGTTCTTTCTGTTTCTTTTGGTTTTTGCTTGTCTTTTTTCCGACTCTGAAGCTGAGCTCCTCTCCACAATACCCGACATTGGCCCGGCCATGTATCAAAATAATCTCACCAAAAAAACCGCTGCAACTGCATCGGCACCGAAACCGCTGCAGATGCTGCGCCGAGTGTCATAGATCATCCACCACTTATTGTTCCATGGCTTTAAGCCAGCACTGGCCATTTGACCACGCAAGGAGAAGTAGTTGAAGTCAAAGCAAGCAAATTGCATCTTCTGACTGCTCTCGATGATGGGCTCTGTCCCACAGAACAAAGCAATGTTGCAGTCCTGGGTGAGAAGGAACGAGCCCAGGACTGCGATTCGAAAAAAAAATTAAAAAAACATGAGAATGCCCTACCAAGAACAAAAGAAAAGAACATGCTTCCACATCCCAAAACCATCCGAAACCCATCAAGGTCTTCAACTGCAAACTGAGCTTCTTGACAATCTCGGCATCGGTATTGTTGACCTGTTGTCTTTTTTTGTCTCGCGACCGACTCGTCAACAGACTCAAGGGCACGGCGCTGGTGAAAGGCCCAAATACCAAGCAAAGACAAAGAGCAAAGCCCCAAAAACGGTTGACCGTGGTCTCAGGTGCTGACATGCAATGACCAGGCCTGAAGTTGAAAAAAATAAACCTTTCAAAAGTCGACGCTCCAAGGCCCAGAAGAATCAAAACCCAAGGAACAGGAATAACATGCACCTCTTCCTGCTGAGGGGCTGCAATTGCTGCAGTTCCGAACGAAGACGCTCGTTTCGACTGGCCCAATGTAGATGCGACCTCGACTCAGTATCTCAAAGGCTCACTGTATTTTGCCAGCCTTACCTGCTGGGTAAGGCTGAGTGATCGCTTTAAAGCAAGACGATACTCATCTGATTTAGACACGGATGCGGAAGCAGGCTGGAGGTGCAAAAAGGCTGAAATGTGTTGAGCCTGATAGAACCTGATAGATTGCAATTTGCACAAATCCTTCCAACTGCACAGAAAATTCTTTATAAAGGGCTCGGAGCATGGCAGTCTTGGCAATCATCGACAAAGCTCGTGGCAATATAGTCCTCATGCGAAGAAAAAATACGACAGACCTCGTGTTTACACTAGTACAAGTACCAAGGGCATCGCTACGAGCGTAGCAAGGACGCTACGAACGTAGCTCCTGGTCTTACTACTAACTAGGAGCATTCTTGCATATTCTTGCTACATCTTGCTACCAGTAACTAGAAGTACATCAGTCCCTGCGAGTCGTAAACGACATCTATCCCGACGAGCCAATCCCAAAACGCCGGCGTGGAGAAATCACGGATGGTCATTGGCCGTGAAACGCCCTAACTTGACACGTCAGAACGCCAATTGATCTGAAGGTCCAACAAGAAGATATCGCAGTTTTTGCCTCAGCTGCAAAACAGCGGGAAACACAGTGCTTCGGGCCATGGAACAATCGCAAGCATCCAAGAAGCATTCTTCGATGTTGAACTGTTCGCCCGCTATGCTGCCTTCCTACGTGCCATCGACAGTACGACATGTTCCATTTCGTATGCCACTTCTACCTAGCTCAAGTATGCTCTAAGTATGCCGAAGTATGCTAAAGCTTTCTCAAAGCAAGAGTGTCTGTCAACATTCCACTCCTGCTTCACAAGCACCTCATCAATCTTCTTGGAAAAGGTGTAGTCCTGGGTCATAGGCCAGGGCTCTGGGAGAAGAGAGCAGCCCTGCACCCGTTCCGATCATGTCTCCATTCAGCTTAGCATCGGCTGGATTCAGCTTCTTCTTAGGCGGCGCCTCGGAATCGGCCGAAGAACGCTCCGTTCCGTTAACGTGAACCAAATAAATACGCATCTCACAGCGTTCCTCACTGCGTTTGCAAAACAGCAAAAGGACCGTAGGGTCCTATGACCCTCTCTTTGCACGTAGGACCCTATTGGTTAACGGTCCCAAAAGAATCAACCTCAACACGTCAGGACCCGTCTTGATCCTCACTTCGGAGTACTCCTGCACTCCTCACTTTGGTCTATGTCCACTCCCGCCATTCGGCTCGGTCCGAGCACCTGAGCCTTCTTCTTGGGCACCTTGCGCGCCCCTGGCGCACTCCGTGGCACACAGAAAGCCCCACGAGCCAATTTCGGTGGGGAGAGAAGAGCCAACAAAAAGAAGACGAAGTGTGTCGAATTGTGCTGGTGTAGTGGATTTGCTAACGTTTCAGCCTTTTGTCGTCGCTTGCCTTTGACTCCGACCGAGCATGTCCCATTCCACAGTGAAAAACCCGGCAGTTCATCTCGATTCGCCTAGTTGGTCTGAGAGACTGTTTTCTCAGGCAATCTATTTGGCCATGTCGGGCCTCAGTCGTGCCTCTCTCCCTCTCACCACAATACAGTTATAAAACTGTAGATATAAAGTAGATCCCCGTTTCTATCCACTTGGGGACCTATAAAATCAACAAACGTGTCATGAAGAAGCGGTGCCTTGTGCTCCCCCTTTGGATTCACATCCGCCCATGGCATCTCCGACCCACGTCCTATCTGCGTGTGGAACACATGTTCGGAATCACCTCGTCAGATGCTGCACCATCCCTGAGAAGAATAATTTTGATTACAGTCGTCACCCTTGAATCCATTGGCATTCTGAACGCTGTTCTGACCGCCGACATGGTGTTCCAACTTGGGGGAGTCATCTGGTTGCCACTGCCATTTCGTAGATGAGGAAAGGTGCAAACTGCAAACACACCTTGTGCGCCCAAGAAACGCAGAATCAGCTGTGGGGCGAACTGCTGGAAGCAGCGGAAGGGGCGGAAGTGGCTGCAAAAGAGCATGCAAAAAAGCTCTGGCGCAGGGTGAACTGTGCTGTGCACATCTCGAGCCCTTTCAGAGACCTTTTCACCAACTGCTATCAACTGCAATTGCACTGTAATTGCGCTGTCCGGCGATTGAGGTGAAACTGGATATTTATCTGTCCTCATCATGATCAGTCTCGATCAGTTCCATAGCTTCGTGGTGTTCTGCAAGTTTATCCAATATGGCACAATGAGCTCGGTATTGTTCATGTTGTCTAACAATTCAGCAATACACCTTCAACAATCCTTCAACAACTTGTTCTGGCCAACAATTGCGGAGATCAAACCAACAATTATATACATTTTCACTCCGGGGGTTGATGTATTTTAAGCTCATTCCTGGGATTCTGCTCTGCATCCACCTTAATTCCAGCACCAACAAAACTCTCCCACATCAAACAAAAAAATAATGCTGAGGACTAAGGACACTGAGGACACGACTTGCGCATCTCTCCCAATACGACACGCATCGTCTCTCCTTCCGCCCGTCGGAAGAACAAGACCGTCCGTCCGTTTCGTCCGCCTGGCCGTGCGAGTCACGAGGGCTTGCCGGTGAGCTCCAGAAACCTGAAGACAAAAGCACCCACCGGACTCCAACCTAATAGCCATGGCCCACCAACCCAATAGCCATGGCCTCCAACCCAATAGCCGGACCGATCGTTCCCAGAGACCGTCGACGCGTCTGCCAACCACCAAACCACCGATGGCGTCTCCAAGGTCAGCGCTGGTCGTACGCAATCTTCGCATAACCCTGGCCGCTGCCGCTGCTAGCACGGGAAAGACAGAGAGAGAGAGAGATTTAAAAAAAAGACCCAAGTGACACGGTGTTTGGGTGTTTTTGGGTTTGGCGGTGTTTTGGTGTGTTTCTTCGCCCATCTTCGCCCATATTCGGGATGAATGAAGTTGGTCACACCTTGGCCAGCTCAGTGCCTCCTTCCAGCAACTTGGCGAGCAAGGAGCGAAAATGTTGGATGCATCCAGACAAAGAAAAGGAGATATGGTGAACACTAATAGTAATGCCAGGGTTTGCTTACTTGTTGCGTAAATGTGATTACTGAAAAAAAAGCAGGTTTGGGGGTATCAAAATGTGTCAAATCTCAGGATGTATGTAGTTTCAGCGAAGTAGAAACCGTACGTGCACACGTGGACATGTTGACAACAAAGCCATCCGCAGCACAGCTCTGAGGCGCAGGCATTGCAGCTTTGGGCCTCTACAAATTCCTGTCAGTCAGAAAAGCCTCCCTGCAAGCATGGAAATGGATGGCACCTTCTGTTTGGTATTCGGCATTTCGTAGTCTTCCAAAGTGCCATGCCATCCACTTTCATGCTGGAGAGCAAGGGCATTTGTTTTGCTGCCGAATGAAATCAAAGAAGGCAGTGCGCGTAGCATGGAATCTCCTGCAGTCTCTTGATACCCAAGGTTTTCGGGTACACAAGGTAGAAAATCACCTCAAAGGTGCAAGGCATGCCACGGCCGGCCACGGCAACACGAAAGGACCTGCTCCGAGGACCTTGCTAGAAGTTGCGTCTCGTAGTAGATGTCTACGTAGAACGAGAGAACCTGGAAATAAGTCGTCCGCGATCGAGAAACAAACAGGTTTGTACTGTATTTGATGGTTCGTACCCTTGAGAAGAAGGTCTTGAAATCAAACTCAGCGAGCAAACCAAGGAAAAGGCATAGAAGGGTATGCAAAGGAGCCACTCAAAGTAGTACAGCGTGATGGACCTCAGTCTCTCACTCTGGCGCTCTTTGTTAAGACTTTGCCTTCCTGCCTCTTCTCATGTTCATTTTCCTTGGTTGTCTCAGGCCACCACGCTACACAATAGAGGCACCAGTAAAAGAGCCTGCCATTGGGGAAACAAAAAGATCTGCTAGGAATCACAGCAAAGTAGCTCCAAAAACCCAAGAGAGATAGAAAAAATACGGTTTCTTCAAACAAGAAAAACTGACCTAAAGATTCCATCTCCGCTGGCCGATCCCATAAGCTGGCCGATCAGACCACAGTTTTCGATCGGAACTTTCGTGTTGGAGTGCGTGCAGCGTCTGCACCTGGGCCGCTTTCGCGTCAACCGACCAATCCATCATCCAACCGGTGACCACCCTTCCGTCTGCACCACCTTTCGCGCCAACGTTTTGCCGCTCAGTTTCGGACCAAGGGAAACAAGATGGCCAGACATATCCACCTGAGCCACCGGGGTGACCGAACTGGTCTCTCCAAACGGTCTCCGGTTTCTCCGGTCGTCCTCGGATGACAAAGACAGCCTTCACTTGATACCTCGTTCTGGGTATGGGGCCGAGCCTGGTTTCGCAAAAGAATGCAAAAAATAACTGTAAAAGCACGAGTCTTCGCATCAGCTCGGCCATCGACAAGGGTAGTAACACCAAATAATAAGGCCTCGGTGCAAAGCAAACTGCTCATTCCATGTAGAAAGTCGCCATGGTGGTGAGTACCAGGCAGCATGTGGAAAATGCCGCAAATGCGCAGCAACCTAGATTATGTGCTTGAGCCTTCCAGGTGTGCTGAGGATTCTGAAGTCTTTTCGATCCGGCTGGGTTCAAACAACATGATTATGATTGAACACGCGTCTCAAAGCTGCGTACAGCAGACTTTTCGTCGTCTGGCTCACCTTCTTCCTTGAGATAACATGACCCAACTGGTCGGTCTTCAAGCCATTGCACCCAAAGTCACAGTCGTGCCCTTCAATCATGTATTTTTAAAGGTCTAGTGGCAGATTCTGCAAAGAATGACCTGTCACACCCAGGACAGATTTCTCCCCAAAAGCAAAGGAATCTTCTTTTGGTGACAAAGCTGTGCTGGCATGTTGTTCAATAACCGATAATTCGTATCAAATACAAGGGAGGAGACTTCAAGACATGGATGCTGGAACGAAAGCCCATGAGTTGCATCATAACTTCGCGGGAAAAAACCCAGCAGCAAACAAAGCATACAGTTGCAAACTGCGTCATCATCAATAGGTTACTCTGTTACACAACAACCATGAAGAAATATAACATCAGATCTTGCAGCGGCACATATATAATATATATATATATACGTACATGCCAGGTGGAGGCTGCAGAGCCACTGCCGGCATGTATAAGAAAAAAAAGTTGGAGTGGCAGAATGCGTATAGCACGGAATCAAAGCGCCTGAACGAGGTACAATTGTGTTGACACAGAAGGCGTGCCAGAGCGTGTCTGAACTGTCAAGAAGATTCCATGGTTGTCTGACGCTGCATGTGTGTGTGTATCTAGAGGTGGAACGGGGACATAGAACTCTAGTGATGGGGTTTGCTGACAGTTCTCATGCAAGCAGTCCCAGGGTTATAGTAGGTTTCGTGAAACTTGCACTCAAGAGTTCGCCCTAGAAACCAAAAGGAAAGTAGACAAGAGGCTGGGAACCTCAACAATTTGGACAGACCAGCATCCAAAACTAAGAAAAACAACAAGTGCTACAACATATCATAGTAGCGTGCGTCGATGACAAACTTCCAGAATATGAGTGGTAGACAAAAAAATGACAAGACTTCTTGTCTGTCATCAGTGCCAAAAGTGTTTGTTGTTGGCCCCATATCGATTCTCTATGTTTCAATGTGTTGGACTCACTCTCTGATAGGGTAGCCCAAATCGGTTCTGCAGGGCTTGGCTCATTTCAATACCAGTACGGGCAGCCCATTACTAAAGTACATGTATATTAGGATTTTCGTCAAATGCTCATATGTAGGATACGACTCGAGTTGCTCTAGGGTTTTGAACCCGAACTCAACACACAGAGCCAAAATCCTTGAAAAAGTCAAAAACCAAAAAATATTCAAAAAACAAACAAATAGGCAAAACAAACCCACACTCAGGAGAACAGGTCTACTTAGGACAGGACTCAAAAAAACACAAAACAAGACTCAAATCCAGACTCAAACCCAGACTCAAATCAAGACTCTAAAAGACAGACTGACTCAAATCCAGGCTCAAATTCTCTGTTGCTGAGTCCGGATTTGTTTTTTTCCTCTGTTCAACCTTCTGCCATCGTGAAATTCCATGCGAGTCTTTTTTCTGATTTCTATATATTTCTATGCGGATTATTTGTTTAGTCTGGTGTTGGTTTCAAGTGCTTGAGATCCAGTTTGAATTTGGTCTTGAGTCACCTGCTGCTTTCTGGGGGCTAGGCTAGGGTGGGCTGGAACCTGCGTGTTCCCTCAGAAAAAACAAATCCAGACTCAAATCCAGAGTCAAACCCAAACTCAACTCCAGACTCAAAAACAGACTGACTCAAACCCAGACTCAAATCCAGACTCAAGTTCTCTGTTGCTGAGTCCGGATTTGTTGTTTTTCCCTCCGTTCAACCTTCTGCTACTTGAGTCTCCAGTTGAGTGTGCTTTTGTGTTTGGTCTTGAGTTCTGGTTTTGGGCTGAGTCTAGGTCTGTTTTGTTGTGTTTGTTTTTATTTTGAGTATTTTTTGTGTTTTTGATTTTTTCATCTCGAACCTCTTCTGTGTGTGTGTGTGTTCGGGGTCACAACTCTAGGGTCCTTCAGGCTGACTGTGCTTGCGAAATGCACCAAGGTCCATACGCAAGACAGCTTGTCGCTCTGCGCGCGTGCTTTTGATCGGAAGAACGAGCTGCTGCATGATTGACAAATCCTGCACGCACAGCCGGCTCGTTTTTTGACTTTATGGTACGCGCAGTGAAGGATGTCATTGACACGCGCTGAACTCTTTAGGTTTCAGCGGGTGAAACTGGAGCCATCAGGAAGCTCAGAAGTTTCCCTTTGAATCCTCGATCAAAAGATAAAACTCAGAGCATCAAAGGAAATAGGAATCGTTGCAACACGAAGCTTGACGAGGCACAGCGGGCCAGCGGGGCTTGCACCAGAAGTTCAAGCAATTCCGCGCAAAACCGTGGTCAAAGGGATTCCTGCACGCCAAATCACGCCAATATGTCTCACAAACCGCGCGTCTCCGGCGCGCAACGGCTGCAGTGGTTTTTATGATCCGACTGGGCGCTGTGCCTGTTCTTGTCATAAATGAACTCTCCACGGTCGAAAATCTCATTGAACCTCACGCATGGACTCGCTCTCACTTATCAGCGCTCGCAAAAATGCTATACGACAATGTGCAGACGGGACGCTCGTCATCCGACAGCTCCTCGACATAAACATTGTCGCCCTTACTGGTGTTGTTTGCCTTGCAGTTCAAATTTGGCCGCTAGACGCATGAACCTTGATTTCACATGAGGCGCATGCAATGTAGTGTTGGTTGCTCCTCCACTCTTGCGCCAACTCATTCCTGCGCTTCGTCAAGAAAATACCAAATTCATCAAGAATCTACGTGGGAGGGGCAGTGCCCTGCAACCGAAAAAAAACATTTGAATAGAGCCTGGAGATCAAGCCAAAATGAATCTTCATTATTGGCCTCAGTCTGGATCAGCACATTTCCCAGCATGCATCACCATGATGCGTACCGTACGGATACACTGAGGAGACTGCCCAGCAACCGCCAGCAGGGCCACTGAGTACCCCAAGTGCAACCTGAGGGATCGAGAATTCTCAGTAGCAATCCCCTTTGTTCCTATATAGTAGCTTCTTGCTCCTAGTAGTAAGGCCAGGAGCACCTAGTAGCTTCTTGTTCCTAGTAGAGATGCCCTTTGTTCCTAGTAGCGTCCTTGCTCCTATATCTCCGGCGCGAAGCACTCTCTATCTATCTATCTCTGTCTCTCTGTGGGCACGACGCAACGGCGACTTCGGCGTCCAATGATCCCTGCAACAATGGCGCAAGCAGAATGCAAAGCACAAGCAGAAAGCACAAACATGACACCAAGAGCGACCTCCTCGGCCAACAAAATGGCAACCCATAGATCCATGAGAATGCCGAGCCTAAGAGTGGTGGGGCCCTCCCTGGCTCTGGAGTCTGTGCCACATCTTCAAATTACTCTTTCTTCGAGTTGAGTTCATGTCTCCGTTCCAATCAGACTGGGCCCAAAACAGCGCTATGGCAATCAAACCTCGGCGATTCAGGATGGACGTTCTTTGAAAATCTCAAACCTAAAGAACACCTATTTTCGCCCCCCTATGAAACAAGAAGCTCCACGACTTCCGTGGCGCCAACAGCAAGGTGTTCGCGCCAATGGGGCAGCTTAAGTTTGGAGATGCCCTGTTGGAATCGACACCCCACCTCTGAAGAAGATAGAAGAAGTACATGAACAACGCTTTGAACAAATCGCAAACGCTTGTGAAGCATCCGGCAGTCTAAGCATGAAAAAGTGGAAAAGGAAGACTTTACCATCTGCTGTTGAAGTACAATGGGGCGCCAGTAGCGGTCAATTTCTCGCTGCGTAATCTTAAAAAAATGCGAGACGAGCGTTTTGCACCTCAAGGCTAAATTGGACCCCACTTGCGCACGACTGGAGTTCCGGAGTTCCGGGAGCAGTAGTTGTACTATCCTGTACTAAAGAATCCAAGCCTCTATACAGTATTTAATCCATCCACTTCAATCCACTGGGTGGACGTGTGCAACAGATCAGTCTTCTTTCATATTGCAACGCGCCTGTCAGATATTGCACCACAAGGCTGAGGCCTCTGCCACCAACCATCAGGATGAACTCCCGGTGGTTCAGCAGGCCTGGCACGTCCAGCCCTGCAAAAAAGAGCGAAGCTCCCACAAGATCGGAAGGAGACTGAGGTTGGCGCCGATGACGTTCTTCACCCATTTGCCTGGGACCAACTTGATTCACGACGAAGTCGAACAGTTCGAACAACAGACTAAAGATTTTCTTCTGTTTGAAAACAGGAGGCAGTAATGGTCATAGCGGCGAATTGGCTGGCGATACTGAAACGACCTGATGTTGGACAGGATCACACGCGACGTGAGATAGGCGGTACAACACAGTCTCAGTCTGACAAAGCAACCCAAGCAAACAGACCAAACACAGCACATCCATGTCATAAATTGTCGTTGTATTCGCTGCTCAGACATCTTGGCAAAAGACTTGTGGGCACGTTGCGGTAACCCCTGTCGCAACCATGTCATGAACTCCAATCCAAAAAATGTTCTTCCTGAACTAAGGCTACCTTAACCTGTGTTTTCTGCACCTCTTCGATGTCGTGGCTCACATTGCGCGTCCTCCTCAATGACCGGGGTCGGCATTGATACAGTACCTCGTTTTCATGGCGACGAAGCATTCAGCAAAAGCATGCAAAGCGACATGAGCCACATGTTTTCGCTGCGGGCACATCATGCACCCCAGAGTGATCAAAAACAAGACACCGAAGGTCGTGTAGAGTGCCACCTCCACGTAAATGCACACTCTAGGCCTTTATGCCCTTTCACAGAATGGTGGCCGAGGCCTCGTGCATTCCCGTTGCCCTGCAAATTATAGGGACCTGGATGAAAAACACACAGATTGCTCCCGCCACCTCAAAAACACATCACAAGAATGCATGAATGCACTGATGGCAAAAGGCAAACATAAAGGACTTCAGGATGGCACAGTCGAGGAAGCCAGAGCCTTATAAGTGGCTCAGAAATGTTTGACTCAAAGGGTCTGACTACACCCGATTTAGGCACAGGGCCGTTGGAAGAAACGGCTTCCAATCGATGCCGCAATAGACATATTCCATTTTCCTTGGGAAGCTCGCCATACTGCGCACAAACTAAAACATATGGAATTGGGCACCCAGACTTGTCCTCGGCAACCGACTGTTCATCGTCAGACTCAAGTTCTTCCTACACCCCAGCGCATTACAAGTAAATCTTCCTGAGACAACATGACCCAACTGGTTGGTCTTCAAGTCACGGTGCCCAAAGTCACAGTCGCGCCCTTCAATCACCTATCTTTAAAGGTCTAGTGGCAAATTCTCCCTTGAAACACTTGTCTTTCACATACAATTTGTCTCATACGCGGCGCCTCCTTAGCTTGTGTGGAGACAGCTGTCCTCGGCATATTGCTCAATAATCCGTAGCAAATCCAAGGGCGGAGACTTCAAACCATGGTACAAAAACCATCTTCATCCCTGCTCTGAGCGAGCGGCACAGTTGTCAACGTTTGGTTGACGGGCGAGGCGTCATTCCTGCGGTTTGCGCTCACTCATGATCCACTTGGCTGGTGCACAAACAAGCTGAAGCTGTCTGTCATGGCAGGTGCCATTAGTTGCATCATATGTTGGTACCTTCGCGAGAAAAACAAGCAGCAAACAAAGCACGCGTTTGCAAAATTGCGTCATCCTCCATATGTTACTCTGTTTCACAACAATGCTTTTCAGCAGATCTTGCAGCGGCACGGTGGACCATGGTCCCCCATATACACAGCCGGTGGAGGCTGCAGAGCCACTGCCGGCAGGTAGCCTAGGAAAGGGTTGGAGACAGGTTCCCTCACAGTCCTACTCCAAAAAGGTCAGTGGCAGAATGCAAAACATGGAATCAAAGCACCTGATACAATTATGCATTGGCACAGTAGGCGTGCCAGGAAGATTCAAGAGGGACATGGCTGTGTAACGCTGCATGTGTGTGTGTGTCAACCCCTGTTCCTAAGGGTTCCGCTTTTCTTTTCCACCACAACTGCAGGGGGATCAGGCTTCCAGTGACTAACCTGATCCAACGAAGCTGGGTCACTGGAAGGGAAGTGGTTGAGGACGCTCAACCATGTACCTGCTGAGTTTTCACCAGCTGGCATCCCAATTTCCCTTGTTTTGCTTCCATGGTGGTTAGCATGATACCTCCCCTAAACCCTTCTTTTGCCGCCGTCAGCTGCCGCGCGCGCCGTTCGCGGACTGCAGATGTGCACCAAACCATTGTTGAAACACCTTCAAGTCTCTTGGGCTTTTCACCATGCCGTTCCCTCACCTTCCTTCTCAACGTGGGAGTTAACAGCCCCACCTTCCTTCTCAATGTCAGAGTGTGAACCGTCCCACTTGGGCGCTGGGCGCGATCCTCCGCAAGGAGGCGCTGCAATCATTCCGGAATTCGTGTCACTGATTCTTCGTTTCCACCACTCGTTGGATTCTCTTAACTGACTCCTGTTCACCTTGAATTAACTGCCTTTTGAGCCGCCGGGCTAATACGGTAAAACCCTTTTGATTACTGAATTTTCGGCATGTCATTTCATTGCGCGTTCATCTTTTCGGTACGCAGCTGACTTTTGAGTTTCAAGTGTGTACAGTCGCTCCACCTTCAGTCTCTCACCACAGATTTTCCACACATTTGACTCACCACCCGCAGATTTTTCATCTCATGAGTCTCACGCCATTTCACAATCACGTTTTCAGACACCTTTCAACTTTCGTTCGCTGCCGGAGCGCTGCGCGGGCGCCATTTTCTACGAACACAGCCCCAATCAATACCCATCCATACCCATACTTGACACATCAATCGCCGCCTACAACAGCGCCGACATTTCCACTCCCACAGACGCAACCTCACATGCCTGCCATGATTTCGCACATGCCGGTAGTCTGCCACACTTCCCGCAGCCAACCTGGCCGCCTACAACTCAATTTCAACCACCACCACAACATTTACCTCAAGTACCACATCATCACGCCATTCCGTTTCCATACACACTACCTCCACAGGAGCCCATACCACCACATCCTCCAACCATGGTTCCCCCACAACAAGCACCTGCTTCGAACATTCAACCAACCCCACAGCAAGTATCGCAGCCAGCACCAACGCAACGGGACTACAACCAAGGAGTTTGGCAACCGTTCTCGGCCTTTCCACCAGTCAGCCAATGGGGGCAAGTTCAGCCAGGCCAAATTCCTGCAGCCGCCACCTCGGCCCCTTCCGACCCTTCTCACCTTACAGCAACACCTTCACCTCTCACTGCAGCGACCACTGGCCCACAGTCACCCGCCTCTACAGCACCGGAAGGCCATACCGCCACAACAGTTGACCAGACATCCTCTACCTCCACCGACCACACCTCCACCCACCACTCCAGCAGCTTTAGTTCAGTCAGACAACCCCAACGATACACGACCTTCCGCTCCACCACCTTCCCACCCAATGGTTTCAACACCACAACCACCGCCGCCACCCAAACCTCCCAGCCAACGCGGCCACCCCCGACACCAACACCGGCGCCACCGGCGTCACACTAGGGGCAGACGCACTCACCGCCACCACCGATCACACAAACACAAGCACCATTCATCGCGACACCACCGCTCGCGATCCCCTTCCCCTTCATCCTACTCTTCTTCTTACAGCAGATCACGCAGCCGCTCCAGACAACCCATCTCACTTCTCCCAAACAACGACTCACTGCCACCAGACGCTACCACGAACCAATCACAAACCAGCTATCCCAACATTCCAGCCCTCCGCCGGCCCGCAAAACCTTGGCGACCATCCACACAGTTCCAACAACGAACACCACAAGAACAGTTGGAACTTTGGCTTGACTATCACGCCGACCAACTCGACGCGCCCAACAAACCTCAACACACCTACGTCGCCAGCTATACTGGACAGTGGCCTCACATACAAGGACATCTCTGACTACCGACAATTCACTCACATCAAATGGAATGACACCACCAACACCCACGACATTTACCAATACCACTGTATCACCATTCCCAGCCTGGTCCAAAAAGCAACCCGACGCTTCCCACCACCAGCGACACGCGCAACTTCCACTTCACCAGAACTTGTCCACATCAATGCCGGCCACACTGGCCCTCTCGGCAACATCACCAACATCCTGCAGCAGGGCCGCTTCCTGCCCAGCACCCTCCACTTCCCAAACAACCCTGGGTTCTTTGCCCAGGGAGTCCGCATCACACAACAACTACAACATGACAACGCAGAACATGCCCGCATTAAATTCTACACAACACTTGGAACCTCGCAAAGAACACA